TTTCGCGGGAGGATACCAACAGCAGCCCCCGTGCCTACCGAGAATTCTACACCAGAATTTCTGTCCGTGGCGTGGAATAGGCGACTGTCCGGGCACTCCTCAGCAGTCGCTACCTGAGAAGAGGTCTTCAGTTTCCCTGTTAGCCAGGGGATTGCTTAGGCCAGGCGCACGGTTCTGTACATCGTTCAGATTGCGCACCGTGTTTCCATTGATGCCAACAGAATCGTCCGGACAGCCTTGAGTGCCTGGGTCTGAGTGCTGACTTGCCTCTTTGACTTCGACTCAGTGGGATTCGAGCCACAGCTTCAGTTAGCGACTTTGCGTTCGCTACTAATCCAGTGATGATAGCGCCTTTAGATGAGCTAGGACTAGTTTGCAGTGACAGGTGGTTGTCTCTGGCTGTTCCCCTCTCCATAGTGCGATCGGCAACTTGAACCAATCTTTAAAGTGGGGTTTTCGGGTCCTGTGCGTCAAGCGCACACTGGACATGGTGTGGCATTGTCTGTATCCAACCTTCCTCGAGGATGGCCTCTTCGACCACACTTTCTCCCACTATCTTTTACAAGTGTCTCGAAAACCGTGATGGGGATCTATTTCTTAACATCTCCCCTTGTAGCAGACGTTGGATACGTCGGCTGTCTGACATTGATAGACCGCTTATTATCGTATGCTTGAGCGTGGAGTAGGGGTCTTCTTCGGGGGTACTGATTGAGGTCACGGACCCCCTTACTGACTGAGAGAGGAAGAATGAAGCACAAGTCTTTGTACCTCAGTTTCTCTGACCTTATATTATGTCAGTCAAAGAAATGCTCCGGCTGGACGAACCACAGTTCTGGGCCTTGCTTATCGACGGCTGGTAATCGGCTCCTAGAAGCGACTAGAGTGTCAACCTCCAGTGAAACGGACTCATTGACAATATCGGAATCAAATCAATAAGGTTAGACATTTTTTAAAAACAAAAAGCACAACTAATAGATAAGCAACTAAGATGAATAAATGCATACAATACACGTTATCGGGCTCACCAATGTTGGACCCAGGGGCCTATGGCTAACGAACTGAACAATTCATTTTAGACAACCATAACGTAGCGGATAAAAAGGCAGTGGTGGAAGTATAATGTGTTTATTCCCAGGCACTCTAATGGGCAAGTCCAGCGGGCAAAACTTATCGAGTACATTGAAAGTTATTCATCATTCAATAGTGAATATAAAGTTTACAACAGGCAGAAATCACAACCAAGCTTACTGGGGAGTACAAGTGTGCACTTCTGTAAGCCTGTCATCACAATCTGAAGTAGGGCAAGGGGGCGGTAGATACACCCTAAGACGAGAGTTATAGCATTAGGAAACTTCCCCACACTTAGTTACTGAGCGAATTAACTTCTGGAGTACTGTTATTTGTTGCAGCAATGTCAGACCTGATATAAATGATGCAACCACCACCTCTACCAATACATCTATCTCCTTTGGACAAAGTATGAGTGCTGACAGAGACATCATTGTCAAGAGCATCTGAAGTACACCAAGCTTCAGTGGTAAACATCTGGCAGGGGTTGGACATAATTGACAACATATTGATCTGACTCATTTTGTTGTATATGGAACGGGCGTTAATCAGTCGGTCAAAGAGTTGCTTAAGCGGTAGCACTTAAACATGTTTTCGAAAAGCTTGTTGTGGTAAGTTAGGTTGAACTGTAGTGGTGAGGAACATGGGGTCGAATTTAATTTCAGGGACATGCTAGGGGAATAAGGTGGCCCTAAGCTACTACCAACATTATCCTTCGTTGTGTCAGGCATTGACCGTACGTGGGCGGGAGATGGCTGGTTGGCGCAACACCTTCCCTGCCAATGTAGAGGTTCTGAGTTAGGGCTGAAAGCAGCTGGCTCAAAGGCATCACCATTTGAACAGAAAAGGCCGCTATCAATTTTCGCAGTTCGAGAAAATTTTGATTTTCAGTATGAGCCCAGGTTACGGATGTTTGCGGATGTGAGCCGTGTAAATCCGTGGTTTCACTTATGCATGGGAAAGGGTGGGGTGCTTAATGTTGGGGGGGACAGTATCATGGGCTTCGTCTGAACAGTAGGCTTCCAGTTGGGAGGCGATGTCGTTGTACTAGGGTGAGCACACATTGGAGCTGAATGGTGTGTGGGTGGTTGTGAGGGGAAAAACCCGATGTTTCCTCTGTGGCCCTTGCTCTCTCGACCATGGGAGGCATTTGTGCTATGAACATTCTTACTTATGTATCCTCTCTTCTTACCACCTTGGTTTGTGAATCCTACCCTTCTGCTGGTTAATGAAGGTGCCGTAGTGCCTGGTGTCCTACCGATGGACGTCATGAATGTGTCTGTGTAGCAGAACGAGATCACTGTTTGAACGGGGTCATAACCATGAAGTTCAGCAGGTTGAAAGTGACTATTTTGAGGGCGACTAAGTCGTTTCTGCGCAATGGACTTTGGCAGTACACCCGAACCGAGATTTTGGGTTTCCATCCCGGAAACACGGCACTTTGAGACTGTGCATCGTGGATACACCTGGAGGTCATCATCGTATGGGAGAGGTTTAAGAGGAGGGGGGTAAAGGCTTATCAGCATTATTGCATCTAGGGGATCCAGGTTTCGCCGGTACATTCAGCGGGATCAGGTGCATACCGAATACATCATCACCGTTGCCATCTAGACCAACACCATCTGCGGACAAATCAACATAACTGGCGAAGATTTCAGCTTCAGTTTCAGTGCGTGCTACATGTTGGCAGGTGAAACAGCACTAACTGATGTACTTGCAACACTATGTTCGGTCGGCCTTTGTTGATCTACACTTGCAATATTGCCTGGTGTGATGAGCTGACTCCTAGGCGCTAGTATGTCTCGAGTGGCCGTCGTTTCGGGTGAAGTTTCCAGATGGACTTCATAAGGTCCCGGTCCACGTTTAAGTCGTTGACAACTGGTAAGACCTGGAATTACCCTAACATTCCCACAAAATTTTAAGAGCCTTACAGGTTTCTGTGAACCACAGAAGTGTCTCGTATCATGGAGTTCGTTGAACTGGAATAATATTGGACAGGAGTATTTACTTGTCCTCTTGAGGACGACGGAGTTGCGCCACGGAGTCGGTCGTTTACTACAAAGTTCACTAGTGTTTCACGCCTCATAAGACTATCAATTGATAAGACTGTTGTAGGGTTCAGTAGGCAAATCAGAGGTGTAAGACGACCAGGTTTAAGCTGCAGATCAGCAATTGCATTACTGTAGTTCAAGATATTACGCTTGTTCGCAATAACACGATTGTATACGTCAGTCATGACGTCTGAGAGATCGACGGAGGGACCGTTAGTAGACACACTATTTTCAGACCATAGTGGTGGATTCGAAACCTTTGGTCTCTTGACTTTACAGATTGGTTTAGCTATGGCAACGATAAGGTTACTCGTGTCAGGGTTACGAGGTAAAGTCATTAAACCACAGTAAAAATTTACTGTCTGACCGTAAAATAGCACGATAAGAAGCTTAGCTGCAACACAGATTAAAGTTGTTAGTTGTCTTTCAACTTGGGCTTCGGCGGTAAACTGCTGCATAAAGCAGCTAAGTGCTACGACCTCCCGTCAAACAGCAAAGTGTACTGAAGTCCAGCCCATTATTTGGAAATTCAAGTGACTATGAAAACCACCGAGATATACCGACAATAGTGGCAGGGAAGATGATAGCAACAGTTAGCAGACAACGTACATGCTTAGACGTTTCAGTTTGCAAGCCAGATCCAAAAATTCAAAAGCACGAGGAAAGCGCAAAGGACGTGAGGTGTGTTTCGTAAGTCACGCGCCAACTCACATAGAAGCTTCTATTATCGCGTCCAAAGAGAAACTAGATCTTCTGCAGCGATCAGCGTAGGGCAACTGGCCCACTATCCTTATAACTGAAAACTGTTATACTACCTTCTATCTTGACTTCTTACTGATATTTCCAAATTTGTTACACAGATCCTTTCCTCCTCCTTCGTTTCAGTAGGCGTTATCGTTTCATTCTTTACATTAGCGGCTACCCAATTTACACTAACTCATACATCTTTACCCCCCCCCCCCAGCGAATTGGAGTTGCATAGATACTGCTGACCCAACAAGAGTTCTGTAGGTTCCTTGCTAGCACAATGCAGCAAGCACACGACAAAATAGCCCAGAAACAAACATGTTTATGTGAGCTAAGTGTGGATGAGGCAGAAGGTGCTTTTGCACCAAGTGGAGATGTAGAGTCTCCAGGAATTGTCCTTGTGCGAACTTGCGAGATATGGAGGCAAATCACTAATTGTTCGTACTTTTAATATGCCCACAAATATGTGACCGAGAAACAACACAATAGCGTGGTCAGACGGAATGCTGTATTTGCGAGATCGAGCCAAAATACCGGTGCGTTTCAACCAGCTGGCTACAGGGTCAACTACGAGCAGTGCAACGTAAAACGACAACGTGCCAAGTAGCATGGATGCTTGAAAGTGTGCCTTCAGCCTTGTAAATTCGACAAGACTGTGAAGGCCGGCATCGGCGTTGAATTTCGAAAAACTCTAGGCTATTGATTCTGGAGAAGTATATGATGCTACAAGTCAAATAAAATAATCAGCCTCCAGGTCTTGACATAGGAACCCCGGATTCTGCTGGCTACACTCACGAAGGCGCTGGATAATATATTAGTCAATGGAATAGGTTTCACCGAAATACTCTCTTCATTCTTTTACCACTACACTACCCTAAACTACCCAGCAACCCGTAGCTCCCCAATCACTCTACAAATTACAACCTACTAACCGACAAAACACCCACCTCACCGAAGCTAAAAGCAAGAAAGCAGAGGAAATTTCCTCGTCCACTGCAGGAGTGAACCGAACAACTCGAATCAAGCCCTGAGAACTAGACGCGAGAGATCAAAAACTACCAGTTTTCTACGTTCGCACTATCAATATTGGATACTGGATATCAGAAGGTTGCGCGATATATCAAAGGTATTCGGTACGTCTTAAGTCCGAAGGTCATTTGTGCTGCATTGTAACATTGGTGTGTTTTGCTGGGAGTGAAAGTAGTACATAAAAGAGTACAAAGTTACCGCATCTGATTTTGTTGCATATCGCAAACATAACTTTAGTTAGGTACATCTTCATGGCATGTGCTGTACGCTGACAATATTGCCAGCTGTATAGCCCCTTTTAGAAACTTAGGGCAAAAACCTAGCGTTAAATCCTGAATATCTCATACAGGTGCGCAATATCTTTCTCGAGAAGCTCGTCTTATCTTGGAAGTCAGTAGTTTCTAAGTTCCACAATCCTGGGCACGTGCCCAAAACATGCAGTACTGCATGTTCGCGAAGTTTTTGAAGAACCACTTTATGAGGAGACAGAATGAATAGGTGTAGGTTCAAGACATGTGCAAGAATTTTGAGACTGAATATGGTGTATATGTCTGCGCCATTGTGACCGGTTTGATGCAACATTCTTTGTTGATACGTTTATATATATATATATATATATATATATATATATATATATATATATATATATAGTGGACTACGGTCATTTCTGATTCCATTTGATCATGTTAGATTATCCCCCTGTAGAATATACAGCGAACCCTAGAAACCGTGGTTTCATTTTTCGAGCTTTTACCCGTTATGATTGCACCTCCTTCTGACCAGTCTGACCATACTAATTTACCAATGCATTTTCTAAGCGAAATGTAAGTGGTTGAAGGTCGATGGATAAACGAATTAAATGTGCAATAAAAGGAAAGTATCAAATTCTGAGACAAATTCGGATAGTAAAGATCAAATAAATACTACTAGGGTGATTGTAACGTGAGAATAAGTTGGATTTGAAAATATAGAAAGGGTTTCAATTTCAAACATTCTTTCACGATAGTTTCTACCAAAGGTTTTAATGTTTGTTTCAACATCTGCCTTGTAACACATCTATTATATGTTTTGCAATCAATTAATGTGCTTATCACTTGCAGTTATGAATTTATGAGAATTTCGTTGCTTTTTTAGCCAGTTGAATTTAGGTCTCACCACCCTCAAGTATAAATCTCGTTTATGGTGCATTGAACTAATATTGGGAATACTCGATTACTGTCCTTTCCAGGTAGTCGTCCTGTGAACTAACCATCTTGTTAAATTGTCTTCTCTTCGACTCAGAAGTGTATGGTAAAACTGCAGTTAAAACGCTTAGATCTGCTGCAGCGCCTATTTATTTAAAGGTTTCGACCTTTATGTTTCTAAAACCAATCTTTCCCCACTTTTAGTTTGCTTAGGTAATCTCCATCTTATGTCGTAATTACTTACCGCTGAAGAGTAGCCTGGCTCGTGTTTTCTAGCTCTACATCTTGACCACTCCATAGCGTGGTTACCAAGCTATAGAACGCAGCATTATGGAGTAGTTCAATAGATGTCGGTAATTGGTTATCGCTAAGCATCTAACATTTTTATTATCTTATTATGGTTATTTTCAAAACCTGTTATTTACCCCTCCATTATTCATCTTATTTGTCCATCCTTTACTATAGCGTTTGTCATGTTTGTCCTCCTACCATTCCCGTTTTTCAGATAAAATATGACAGGTAAGTGTATGGTAAAATCCCTCAGAATATATGGTGAAAATACATCAAACATCTTAGATAAACTTCATCGTTGAATTACACTACCGAAGTTCACAAAAGGGACTATTTGTTTTAGACATACTTTCCACCTATGAATAAGAAAGGGGTGGGATACCTTTATGTGTTATTAGTGTGGGCCGACTATCAATGAATTATTTACAGGAATACTTATGTGTCTATCGAAGTCGAATTGTGTACTTTTTCTTGTCTATGAACAATATCCAGATGTTTCACCAATGGCTTTCTAACATCCGTTTAGTTGTCTTCAATTGGAATAATGTTTTTGATTAGATATTGGAAATATATGATTATAAAACAACGAGCACCAGATGTGCTTACGACTATAGACGACCTACTTTTTTCACCCATATTGTTTAGCACAGGACGAATTATCCTACTTATGTGCCTGTCGTTTTTTATGACGATAGTTAGTTGATCATGTCCTGAACCTTCCCTGACTAATGTAGCTCGGACACATATCTCGTATGTCAAGCCTCTTCCCCCTCGATGTGCAGTGTTAGCTGATGTCGGATTAGCTTGTAAGAAGGCTAAAAGTGGTCAGATCGAGACTTGGCATCAGTTCATAGTCTTTTATTGTTGGTCTGAACTGGGCATAACGTTGTAGATGCCCCAGCTACTGGTTCCCCAAAATGATGGAAATCAACTTTTTGAAAACAGTTGTAGGGCTCTCAATCGGTTACAGTGGTACAGATGTGATCTTTTGTGAACCTTCATCGACTTATTTCGTCTTCTGATACAAATTTCCCTATCCTAATATCACATTTTCTATATATTTCTTCTTTTCATACCACTGTGATGTGCAACAACTTGAATCGGTGCTTTTCTGTCCCAGGTTTTCAAAATCCATCGACTCAGGTAGTTGAGACATGTGTTAAGCATACCTAGTTACCATTTACCTCATCGTACAATGTTGACCGAAGTAAGATGAAGCTGAAAAAGGGTCAGTGGTGAGCAGACTAAAACGTAGTATCAGTCCATGAAATCTCTAACAGTTGGGCTTGACCGTGTGGAGAAACTTAAGCTTAGGGGTTTGGAGTCCACTTGACAAGAAGAACCAGTGATTGAAGACCCTAGATGATATGACTTAGAATCGATCTCAGTGGTGCACATGTATCCACACATTACCTTTATTGTCATTGTCATTCTGAATTTCAGTATTATTTCATTTTCTTTGGTCTCTTTTGTCAGTTTTCTACGCCTTTTAAGCGTTTTATTTTTTATCATTCACCATTACCAATACTTGTTTGATGTGCTGACCTGGAATATGACAACTTAAACCACTACGCAGTAATGCCAGGTCCTACATTGTTTTTATCTGGTTGTCTGCTAGGTTCTATGTTGATCTATCGATCTGTATAATGGTAACTTCCCTTTAAAAGTTAAAAGCTCTAGAATTTCGGATCACTTCAGTTGAAATAGAGTAGTTAGCATTCGTTTCTCAACTGGTGAACCTATCGATCCACACCTACTGTAGTGGGCCCTGCTGATCAGAATGGATATAAATAGTATATTCTGAGGCAACAGAAATCATAGGCAATAACTAGCGATGGGTAAATATTCTGCCCAGAGAAACTCAAGAGGCAATGTGGGCGTATTAAGAGCAAATCGAGACAAAACCAGAAGAGTAAATGAAGCACATTGTCCAAACGATTGTTTTTTTGGGAAGTGTAAAAGATTTCATCACTACTGTACAAAATGTGAATGACAAACATTCCTTCGTCTCAGTTCTGTCTTTTCCTACACTGCTACTTATCATCATCAAACGATTTGGCGATTTGAGAATGTTTGGGATGCGTTTCTCACCACCACCACCACCAAATGGAGATTGCTGCTCCAGGATTGGTCTTCAACGGTGCCTCGGCTAACAATAGAGAGTGAAGTGGTTGAGTGTATCGACCACTTCACCTACCTGAGAAGTAGGATCAGCCCTGGTAGCCCAGTGGCCGATGAAATCTCTGCACGAATACAAAAGGCTTGACAGGCTTTCGCCAACTTACCCCACCTATGGCGCCACCGCGATATACGATCGTCTACTAAGAGTGGCGTGTACTGCACAGCAGTCCTCTCTGTTCTACTGCATGGTTGTGAAACATGGCCATTGAAGTTGGATGATATGAGAAGACTTCAGGTGTTTGACGACCGTTGCCTTTGTAGTACAAGCCGTATTCCGTGGTGTCACCAAGTGAGTAAGGCAGACGTCAGGCGTAGAGTATTAGGGAGGAAGAAGAGGTGAGTCAGTTGACATGGTTGTGAACCATCATCGACTAAGATGGTTGGGATATGTGTACGTATGCCTAGTCGTCAATTGCCTCGTCACACAATGTTGGTCGAAGTAGATTCAGGTTGGAAAAGGCTGTGGGCGGCTAGACTAAAACATGACATGAATGTTGAAGTCTTTGACTGTTGGTTTGAGATATGTAGGTAGATGGAGACTGGGTGGTCAGCGTCTGTGGGACAAGAGGAGCCAGTGGTTGGAGACTGACTCTAGGTGGGTGGTGATATGGCTGACAACCGATGTCAGTGACGCATATGTATCCATGCACACACACACACATTATCCTCATGTTAACGATGCTATACCGAATCTCACCATTTTCTCATTCTTCCTTTCTTTCTTCTCGTACATTACACTTCTTTTGACTGAATTTTCTCATCTTCATCTTCCACTTGACTGTCTTTTTACTTGATGTAGTGATATGGAGTGTGGCAACCCAGACGGTTACGCAGTAATGCCTAGTATTATGTTTATATTAATGATATTGATGATGATCAATCAAAGGCGAAGTTGGAAAATTGAATTGCAGTGTGATTGGCTTGGAACCACTGTGTCAGCTATGTTTAGTTCAGCCGAAGGTTACTGGACAAGATAGTGAAGTGGATTGATGCGTTTTCGAGCCTTCATCAGCAGGGGTGGCTTGGATATGTACTGCGTATATCGAACCACCGCCTACCATCTCCACGTGTTGCTCTAAATAAAGTCGCATTAGGTTGAAGGAGGATTTAGAAAGTCTATATTAAGATGTGGTATCAGTGGATAAAGCCTCTAACTGTTATTCTGAGCCTTCTGAGGGATATGTAGGCTGCTTTGCCTGCTGGGGTCCTGGAGGCGTAAGGAATCAGTAGTTGAGGACTGTTGGTGACATGGTTGAAAATCGGTCCGTCGCAGTGGCGCAGATGTACTCACTCCTTGATATTTTCTAGAGCTTGAGTATTTGCACTAATCGTTATATTCTCTTCTTGGATATCAGACTTTTCCATCCGCTTGCTCCTTGTATACTATTGTGAAGTGTGACAACTTGAACCGATGCATCACCATCATTAAGATCAACTGCGTAACGGTCCAAGTTGACTGATTTCATATCATCACATCAAGTAACAAGAGAATA